TTCTTTTACGTGCCGTAAAGCTACGACACGGGACCCACAGCTTAAAGTCCCTCCCGGAGGACTTGTTCCCTGAATTTTTCCGCCCTTAAAAATTCGACAACCTCCGCCAGGTATTTGAACCCGCGTACTAAGAGTCATGAGGTGGGAACATTACCTCTAGACTACGGAAACCGCTATTTTGTCTATGGTGATTGCATACTTAACATACTGTCTGTAAACAACATATTTTTATTTTTAATGAATATATACAGGTACATTTCACCATGATATATGCAATGATATCAAGCACATTAATTCCTATGCTTGATAAAAGCCTTATCCTTGATCTGAGTGAACTGCAAGATGGAGTTTTCTCAAAAGTGAGATGTTAAAGGTTAACATTCACAGAAATCACATTCCAGTTCAATTCCAAGCTTGGGCGGACAATTCCGACAATTTGAAAAATAAAAATTAAATTTGTTCTAGTAGTCAGATGCACGCGGTAGAGTAGTTGGTTGAGGCACTGTGCTACAAGCCAGAAGGTTATGAGTTTAAGTACTGATGAGGTCACTGGATTTTTTTTCAACTGACCTAATCCTTCCAGCCACACTATGGCCCTGGGGTAGACTCAGCCTCTAACAGAAATGAGTACCAGGAATATTCTTGGAATATTGTTAGGGGTAAAGGACGGCCAGTGCGTAGGGCTGACAACCTTGCTGCCATCTATGAGCCAATTGTCTAGAAAATGTGGGAACCTCAACATCTCACAACCCTATGGGCCTCCACGGCCTGTTACAGGGATACCTTTACTTACTTTTTTACTAGCAGTTAGACTCATTCCACCATTCAGAAAATTATATTCCAATTCAGTACTGGGCTGAGTCATTTTTAATAAAATAAAATAAATTGGACATGACTGAAATCCATGTGTTCAAATACATCTGTAGCTGAAAGGGTTAAATAATAAACTTGTGATTATCTACAAATACAAAATGTATTCTGAATCAAGAGTTGTGTAATATTAACATATAAAGAGGTCTAGTTACATAAATTCTCACTGCATATATGGTCCAATCCATTTTAAAGAATTCTCATTTCCAAAAACAAATCATTACAGTTGACCTCATCAGCACACCAAGGATTATTCAGTAGCTATTGTGTGATATCCCTGTGAAATTTGATACAAACAAAGAGTACCAGGTTTCCACCCTTTCTTGATTATCTTATGATAGTGTTTTCCTGATTTCTGCTGATCCAGCATAGTAGACAGTATCATTCTGATAAGAACACTGACAAGCAGAACATACAGCTTAATATGGGCTCTGAAACATGTGAGTACTCAGTAACCCCCTCATTCTTCCCACCTCATCACAGATGAGGGCTGGGAAAGGCATATTAAAGAAATCTGCACTGAATCCAGCTGATCAGACCAAAGATCTTCAATATGGAAAACTGGTGTTCCTGGTTCCTACAGGTGTTAGGTGGTTAGCAGCCTATGTTGGAAGGTCTATAACTTATTACTTTTTACAACAGCTAATACACAATGTAAGTTTGAAACATATTTCTCCCTGCTAGATACACCATTCTCATAATTTCCATCATTATCAACTATGAACTAATTAACACTAGATTACATAAAAAAACTAAAGCTATGTCTGCAGTTAATTCCACTGGTCCATCACCACAAAAATTAGACATGAAAAGATCAAAGCTGGAGTAAAATATGTACCAACACACTGGGACAAATTGACACCTTTTAATTACAGTCATCTGTCTTTATGAAGCAGAAAAAATCCGAGTATAAAGTATCACTCATTAAAAACTGGAGACATAAACATACAACTGCAAATTTTCAAATTAAGAGATGTAATACAACTCTATTAAAAATGTCTTTAAAAATTTAAAAAGGTAAAGATGATAGTGAATATTTAAGAGACAGCCATCTCAGTAGCACGTATCTGTCTTTACTCCGAATGTAACAGTTTCATTTTTTTTTTTTTACTCACATGCTATCTATATTGAAAAGTCATAATACATAGAACAAGACAGACCACTAACCAAACATATACCACTCATAACTTCACTGTAGAGATGAATAAAATTTAGTGAAATCATAACAAAACACTGAGCCCCAAAACATTTAGGTATCAGCTTCAAAAGTGAGAGGAAAATCACATGAGGATGGTTTGTGTGTGAGTATAACATGCCTGACCATAAGGGCAACTTCATGAATGTTGCAGTTTAGCATCCTGTTGCACTGATTCGTATCCATAATGTGTATATATTTACCGTCTTTTAGTGCATACAGTTTCACTTGTCACTTCACACTACATGTTTCGGCATCATTCTGCCATCCTCAGGTGTATCAATCACGTTAAACTATTGCATAAATGTGATTGATACACCTGAGGATGGCAGAATGATGCCGAAACATGTAGTGTGAAGTGACAAGTGAAACTGTATGCACTAAAAGACGGTAAAAATATACACATTATGGATTCATGAATGTGATGAATGGTGATAATTTGTGGATTAGTATGATAAGATGTACCTGGTGAAATGCTTAATTTGCAGACAAGGTTGACACATCATTCAGGACAATAAGGATAAGCACAACACATCAACAGACCTTTGTTTATTACAATATGTATTTTACATGATTATTCGATGTTAACAAGCATATACAATAACAATTCTGTGTATTTACAATACTAGAACTATACAAATATTCTACAATACTTTACACAGCTTCACTTACTTTGCTCAATATGGAATGTGTAGGCCATGCATCACATGGCTGGAGGATGGAAGGACATCATTTATGTAAGTACAACAAAGAGCTGAAAAGCAACCCAGATGATCTGGAATTCAAGAATGCCATCCAGCTCTGCACACAATTCTGAAAATCTTGGTATTTGCCCTACTCAAAAACTGTTATTTAAAGTTATTTAAAGGTCAGAGAATGTAACAAAATATCTACCAAAATTGTAGAAATGTATTAAAGTCTGGATTATGAATATTATATATTCAGGGTGGCATTAATTTTAAATGTCTGAGACAGTGAAATGCATGTGCCAAGATTTACAAAGTAAGTACAGCAGTTTCAAAATAGCCAAACACATTCATAACGTTTTCTTTTTTCTATCATATACCCAAATGTTCATTATTTTCCCATCCCCAAATTTCTGAGAAGCCATAAACTACATACACACACACATATATTTGAATTGGGATTTCTGTATCAGAATTTCAACTTCAACTGGGCATCCTTACATTACATATTGTCATATGAACAGTGAACTAAATACACATAACAATGTTTCACACATTAACCTTCCATATCTACAGAACATATGAATAAACCACATTAATACTGTGATCTGCTGCATTTGTAGCAAGACTAATTATAGTTCCTTGCAAAAAATACCCGAATAAAACCAACTCAGACATATAATTTACGACACAGAAGCATAAGTAGGAGAATCATAACCCACCACAAAATACTAACAACGCTATTTTCCCAAGTGTGATTTAACCTGTGACAGAACATGGTTACTGTCTGAAAAGACATCTGGTTCTTGTTCAGTGGACTTGAAAGCTTATAAAACCACTTTTTACATTCCACATTTTCATGAGAGTTAATCGTTTTTCCCCTATTATTGCAGACTTAGCTCATTATTTATTAAACAAATTGTACCCATTCCATAAAGTATTAGAAATTCACACAGAGAAAAATGAATCATGTTCATATTTGAAACACTGATGAATTTCATTTTCAGATTTATAACCAAAATGTCTTGAAAGACTGTTCACCTGCTGCTCAAACCCAAATATGTTAGTTAAGAACCGCGGTTTAATTGCTGGATAATTAGCATTGTTAATATTGATACAAATAAAACAGGAACATTAGTATGAATGGAATGGTAAATATGAACACCATCAGAAAACCTATAATCATACAGGTTTGTTCACAACAAAGCCTACATAAAATCCGCATCCATTTGATGGGTCAGGTGCTAGTGATGTACTAACACACTCTTTCACGACAGAAAAAGCCATGGCTTTTAATCGGTAAGAGAATCAAACATGTTAAATCAGGGCTATATTAAGAGGTGTAAGAGAGGGTGATGACCAGGTAAAACCATCCCTCCAGTCCTGAAATTTCTGGAAGAAATATATGCAATAAAATTAAATTTTTTACCTGAATTTGCATAGTCATAAAAATGAAATCCTAGATAAGCTACTATATTAATCTATCTTAACCCTTTCAGTTCAAAATGCTATGTCTCTAGATCAACAAGCATCAAGATTGATGAAATCAAAAACTCCTGTGCCATTCAGTAGCATTTACTGTTTCAACCATTTCATAAACACTACCTATGATTTTTGTTTTATATACTACTAAGAAGGTACAATGTCTGTTTTATTTTAACTCTCATAAATTCTAAGCCTTAGCTGCCAAATTTGTAGCTCCTGCTGGCTGCTTGGTGCTCTGTGTTTGTTCCTTCTCCAGTTGTCTGCCCAAATATTCCCTGAAAGTAAATATCCTACTATGCAGTTTCAAAAGAATGTACATAAATAACACGGTCCACTACTGTATGAACATAAAG